GTGATCCTGGAGCTCCAGGGACCCAGCACCCCACAGCCCTGTCACGGACGGCAGGGCAGCCACAGACTCCGTGTTTCTGCCGAGCAAGACAAGCAAACGGCAACAGAGCGCAGGCCTTGGTCTGACCCCCTGCACCACATTCAGACCCCTGCCGGAGCACTGAGCCAGGAGCAGCTGCCGAGCACTAACAGATGTGATCCGACCACAACCCTCCTCAAAAACAAAACCAATACACCTTAGCTGTGGACTTGTGTCGGCCCACGGGGCACTGCTGAGCCTGGTAACCCACAAAGCGCAAAGGATCATCTGCATCCCGCCCATCTCTTAAGCCCAAGGGCAGCTTTAAGAGGAAGGCGGTTTCTGCCTTCTCTGGGGAATACTTAGGGGACCCTCCCATCAGCTGGGAGCTTCCTGCCTTCCCTCCCCTCCCGTTCCGTTCCCTGTCCTCAAATGACCCTTCTGGGGACCTGCCTTTCCGGTTGTCTCTAGTCCTTGCTCTCAACGCTGACTGTGCGAGGCCCAGCTGACGCCACCTCCTCTCTCCCTGGCCCACCTGCAGGGTCCCCCACACAGGGCCCCCGAGCCAGCTGCACGTGGCTCGCGGCCTCTCCATAGGCTGGGAGACGAGGCTCCACACACAGAAGTACCGCAGCGGGGTCCGGAGGGCGAGGCGGGCTTCAATGCAACTCAGCAGTGTCCACTCCTGATCCCTCCCAAGCTTGAGAGCAGACACGGCCAGGTGGCGCCAGAGCCCAGGAGCAGGGCGTGAAGAGAACATGAGCCGGGTTCCCCAAGCACACACGGCAAGGATTTCCAGCTGCCCTGGTGTCGGCTGCTATTCTCCAGGGACACTGGCCGCAGGTCGAGAGAGAACTGCACATGGGCGCTTCGAAGGCCACGGGAGGCCAAGGCCCGGTGCTCTCCGCAACACACACAGACACCACTGCAGGCCACCTGCCGCGAGACCATGCTGGAGGGAAACAAGAGAGCTGGGAAGGACCAAGGCCGGAGCACAAAACTGGCACCAGTCCGGATGACCGCCACGCCAGGAGCAGAGCACAGTGGCCGAACGCACGGTCTGGCCAGGAGCAGGGCTCAAGGCACAGACAGGGGCCACACTGTCACTCGCAGATATAAACAGCCCTCCCTCACGAGCGCGGTCAGCGGGAACCCTGAACCCTAAGTCTCAGCCCCCAGCCTCTGGGGGAAGCCCCCAAACCCTGCAAACCATGCCACGTCCGATCTCTCCCCCACCCCGTTTCAGTCCCTCCCCAGACAGCAAAATCAAACCTTCCACTTGGCTCAGTCCCCTGGGGCCGCCCTGGCCACTCTGGATTTCCCAGGCTGACAACACCTACAGCCCATCAACTCATTCCTGCGTTTCCTTGTGAGCTTGGGCCACACCTGGTTCCTCCAGGCTTTGTGTCTGGGGGCCCACAGGGGGCTGCAGGTGCCCTTTGTACCACCTCTCCAGCCCTGCAAAGCCAAGAACAGAGAAAGAGAGGCCTGCGCAGGGGCAGCGGTCCAGGGGCTGGCGGCCACCCTGGTGGGCAGGGAAGGGAGCGGCCACCATCGTCACAGCCCTGGGGCCCGTACACAGCTTCCATCCCGGAAGCCCGCCCGCCTGCCCAGGGGCAAAGTACCGCTCGCGCTTGCAAAAGAGGCAGCCCCTGACACAGGGCGGCCTGCCTGGGCGAGCAGCGGCCGCTTGCTGCAAAGACGGATCGATTTGCTTCCCGGCCGCAACAAGCAGCAGGACTGCGGCCGTGAGACCTCGCACCTTCTGCGGCCAGTCACTACCGAAGGCAAGGACCCGCTTCTCTGTCCTTTGGAGCCACACTGGCAGCATGTGTGGGGGACAGGGGCTGGGGGTGCGCCCAGTAGTATCGGGGAACCAGGTGGCGCAGGGGGGCAGGGGGGTCCGCCCCAGGGGCTCCCAAGTGCAAAGCATGAGACACAGGCACTGTCTCCCAGGTCCAGGATCTAGGAGGGGGTGGAGTTCTGGAATCACTCCTGACCCCTCCAGGGAAGGGCAGCACCCACCCCGGGCTACAGAGCTGGGCTGCATTGGAGAACAAGAACAAGGACGGAAGACAAGGACGCTTCAGCTGCAGGTCATGACACAGAACACAGGGCGGGCCTCTGAAATGCTTCCTCCCGACAGTCACAAAGGCCGTTTATTTTGTTGTTGCTTCTTTATTGGGGCCCACACCCCGCTTCCTCCTGGCTCTGCACTCAGGAATCACTCCTGGCGGGCTCAGGGAACCCTAGGGGATGCCGGGTATGAAACCTGGGTCAGCCACATGCAAGACAAGCGCCCTCCCTGCTGTCCCATCTCTCCGGCCCCCTCAAAGGCCCGCTTAAAAAGCAAGCTTGCTGGCCGTGTCCAGCTATTGGCCACAGAACTGTAAAATGGGGCTGTCGGGGGCCAGGGGCCGGCCAACACTCTGCTCTTTTCTGTCAGACTGAGTGGGATGGCCCAGAAGGGGGCCTGCTCCCCGCCCCAGGGACCCGCCCCCCCAGGGACCCGCCCCCCCCAGGGACCCGCCCCCCCCCCCCCTCCAGAATCCTGGGAGAGAAAGAGGCACTCCCTCCCCCAGCTGTGCCTACAGGGCAGACCCTCTCCAACAGCCATTGGTGACCAAAGTCCAGCCCCGGTGACACCCAGTCAGGTCCTGCAGAATCCCCATGGCTCTCAGCAAGGATCAGCTCCACACGGATACCCCAGGCCCGGCCAAGCCGTCCAGAACGGCCCACCGGACGGGTGAGCGCACGTCTCCGGAAGCTGCAGCTGTCAGCGCTCCTGCCCAGGGGAGACTGGAGGGAGAGCTGGCCCGGCCAGCAGGGCCCAGAGCCGCCTCGTGACTCGGCAGCCGGCCACAACCTGCCTGGGGATCCACGTGACCCCGACGCAGCCACTGGCCCTCACTGGTCCCATCCTGAACCCAAGGGGCCCCCGTGCTTCCCGGACCCTCGTTGCCTCTGTACTCAGGAACAGAAGGGTGGTCCCCGAGACCTCAGAGAGCCAGCCCGAGCCTGGGAGTCTGCTAGCCCCCACGGGTCAGGTGCTGGAAAGCACCCCAGTTTCTGGGCCGTGGACTGCCCAGCAGTCAGCTCTGGCAGTAGAGTCCCGTGGCCTTGAGGCTGCACAAGCAATGTTGTCCAGGAAGGGCCCCATCATCTGCCTGTGACCCCCCACTGACCCCCACCCCCACGCTCTCCACTCCAACCCAGGGCTGTCACCTAGAGCAGCTCCACAGCACACAAGCTGCCACCATTCGAGCACATACGGCCTTGGCACAGAGTACCAAAGTCCCCCACAGCCCCCCCAGAGCCACAGAACCCAGAACAGTGGACCAGGACAGAGCTGGGCCGCGGGGAGCCCAGGGCGACCCACAGAAGATCCCCCCACCGACCAGCCGGGTAGAGCCTATGGTCCCTCCGACTGTCAAGTTCTAAGCCCTCCTTCGTGTCCGCCCAGAGACCAGGGCAAGGGCGACCGACCGGGACCCCCATCCCCTGACACTTCACGGGACCCAGACAGGAGCAGACCTCCCCCCCCCCCCCCCCCATCAGCCTGTCACTGTGGCTGCAATGGAAACAGGGACCGAGCAGAACTGGAAAGAAACAAAAATGAAGCGAAAAGGGAAGTTCTCTGAGCCAAGTGTCCCTGGGCAGGAGGGAGCATGGCTCGGGGCTCCACAGAAGGGGCTGGACACCCTGTCCAGTCAGGTCTGGGGGCCTCTCCGCAGAGCCACACTAACTGGGGCACGCACACCCCACACACTTATTTATGCTCACACACACACACAATGACACACCCTCATACCTCCTACACGTGCACTCATACACTCACATGCATCCCCCGTGCGCTCACACACAGCACCCTTCACACACACCCCACCCTGCCTGGTGCCCTGGGCGAAGGGGCTTCCCAAGTCCCCAACAGCCTGGCCCCCCTGCCCCACCCCATTTCTGAGCCTTGGCCTCGCCCCCTCACTTCTCTCCAACCACCCACTCCAGCGGGGCGCCCAGCCTCCAGCCACAGCACTGGGTTCCCCAGGGGTAGGACAAGCCCTGTATCCAGCAGGTCCAGACTCCCCAGCATACCCCAGGGTGGCCGGTTCAGACCCCAGGCGAGGGGAAGGGGTGGCCCTGAGCACCACAGGTCGGGGCAAACAGGAACCACGGCCCAACATTCAAGGCACCCGCCTGACGCTCTAGTCTCCCAGAAAGGCCAGGGTTGCCCAGCATGTGTACCAGGGCAGGTAGATAGGGGGCCCAGACCGATGTCCAGTGTCCAGTCCAAATAGCCGGCACAGCCCAAGGGACACCCGGGAGGGGGGCTGCATCCCACAGAATCAGAGCCCGGTTCTCTCACACTTGGGAGCACTCGAGACTCCTGGGGCGTTTTCCCCGCCTAATCCCAGCTCCGGAGAAGGCTCTGCTGCCGGACAGGGGTGCTGGCCAAGGCCGGGGTCCAGCGGGCCCAGGAGCAGCGGCGAGAGGTGCACCCTGCAGACCACCCGGGGCTGCCCACCCACAAACACCATCTACGAAGCAAGAAAGAAAATAAAAACGGGGGTTGGGGCGGCCCCGAAAGGCGAAGCCCCCTAACATACACTGATGGGCAGCCGGGACGAGGCTGGGGTCCAGGTCCATCCCATAGGGGAGGTGACCTGTGCTCCTGCTGCTGCTGCTGCTGCTGCTACTGCTCCTTCTCCTCCTGCCCCCAGGAGCCCCAGAACCTGCCGAGCCCCCCACCGCGGGAAGGACCCTCGGGGCGCAGGTGGAGGCACTGCCCGCCCACCTGCCCGCCCTTCCTGGGGGCCCCGGAGCCGGGCACGGGCGCGAGCGCAGCCGGGCGGTGCAGGCGCGTCCATGCGTCCGCGCGTCCGCGCGTCCCTCAGTCCGTCCGCCCGCCGGGGATGCTGCCGCCCCCGGCCCCGCAGCCCCCGGCCCCCGGCCCCGCTCCCCGCCCGCCCCGGCCCGCGTCCTACCGGCTCCCAGCTCAGGCCGCGGCGCCCGCCAGGCCGCGCCGGATGCTCCGCTCCCCCTGCCGGCCGGCAGCCATGTCCCGGCCTCCGCGGAACCTGCCGAAGAGCCCGGCCGGAAACGCCCGGAAACGCCCGAGCGAGGCGCTCGGGGACGCGGCCGCTTCGGGTCTTTCCGGCGGTGGCTGGGCAGCTCCCGAGCGCCGCGCGCCTCCGCCCCGCGCGGGGCATTGTGGGCAGGCTGCAGCGCGCGGGGGCGCAGGGACAGGAGTGGGGGCGCGCTGGGGCGAGCAGGGGCAGGATGGGGTGGGGAAGGGCGGAAGGGCGGGAGCGCAGGAGGGGGGCGCGGGAGGGAACGGGGAGAGAGCAAGCTGCTGGGAGCTGGGAGCGCGCAGGGCTCTTGGGGGCTTCCAAAGCCCCCTGCGCGCTCCCCAGTGTCCCCAAGGCCTTTGCATGCAACACCCCAGTCCTACCAGTGCCCCCTGCGTGATGCTCCAGACCCCAACAGTACCCCCTGGGCTGTGCAATACACGGCCCCCAACAGTGCCCCCCTGCGCGATGTTCTGGCCCCCAACAGTGCCCCCTGGGCTGTGCAATACTCGGGCCCCCAACAATGCCCCTTGTGTCCTCGCTAGTGTCCCTTGTGGCCTTTGTGTGTAATGTACTCAGTGCCAACCCCCCCCCCCCCGCATGCCCCTCCGTGCTGTGTTTCTAGCCTATCGATGCCCACTGTGTGTCCTCCCCTGAGCCTCAATGTGCGACCCCCAGCCTAGTGCCCTTCACCATTTCAGAAATTGCTCTCTAGGGAGGAGAGCACTCCGGACACACACCCCACCCTGGTGCCCTGGGCGAAGGGGCTTCCCAAACCCCCAACAGACTGCCCCCCCCCCCCCCCCCGCCGCACCCCATTTCTGAGCCTTGGCCTCACTCCCTTCACTTCTCTCCAACCATCCACTCCCAAGACACATGTGCAGATAGCCCCTGGCTCCTTCTGAGCACTGCAGGAAACCTGGGTTCAGCTCAAGGAGCGTCCTGGAGGCCGGCAGGGTTGTAGTCCCGAAAACGAGCAGAAACAGTTAAAAGTTCAGTCCTGGGCCTCTGCTTTCGCTGGAGAAACTCTGCTACCAAGACAACCGCCCCATCCCACCCTCAACACCATCGCCACCATCACCGAAAAGACCTCTCTGCATGGCGGGGTCCAGCAGGTCTATAGCCCAGGACATAACAGAGAGAAGGCCCAGTGTTGGGGAGGGGGAAGGGCATCTCAGGGCTTTAGGCTGATCCAGTCACCGGGGCAATCAGCCAAAACCAGGGAGGCAGGGAGCAGAGCAACACTGCCCGCCTTCCCCACCACACTGGAGGGACAGGCCCGCACTTTCCAGAATACGGTGCAAGACTCTCCAGCAATCAGAAAGGACGCACCTGCTCGTGGCGTAGTGAACTCAGTTGTGAGTTCAAACTGTTCCTTACAATCTGTAACTGCAGCATAAATCTGCAATCAAAAGCACTTCTGCATCTTGACTTAAACACTTTAAAGACCCAAGGGACTGGGCTTGTACTCCGGGATTTCCTAACCCCAGGAACCCAGACTCCTCCAGGGCCTGGGAGGCTGTGGGGGCGGCCAGCTGGCTGGGTCTCAGCACCTGGGTGGTCTTGTCGGGAGGAACTCCCTCCCTCCAACCTCCCAGAGGAGCCTAGGGTCCGCACTCCAGCTCGGCCAGTGAAATGTATCAAACCATTAGTTTCCAGCTGGGTGGTGGTTGGAACTGAGGGTTCCATTTGCAAAACGGAACTTTACAAAACCTAGCAACCCCGTTTGCTGGAGCATTCCGACTCCACAACTGACCTCCTCCCCACAGCCCCTATCCCTGCTTCTGTGAAGCAGCACAGTGAACGGACGTTAACCGGCTGCCCAGGAAAGGCCTGCAACTTTCTTAAAACCCAGAGGCAATCTAGAAAAAGGTGCATGGGGACACTTTTGCCCAGACATCATGGTGCCCTGCTCCATGGTTTTATTTTTCCCCAATACCATTTAATTCCTCCTCTCCAGGGGTGGCTTCGAAGCAGGTAGCTGCTGTTGGAGTCACCAGATATGGGGGTGGGCCCCAGGTGTGGCTGGACTGCCACTGAACACTGCCTGGTAGGCATGAGGCTGCAAATTCCAGCACCGGAACTGGCCCATGTGCCAAGGATGCAAGCAAGTGTGAGTGATAGATGCCCATCATTGACAGGGAGTGGGTGCACGTGCATGTGTGTGTGTGTGTGTGTGTGCGCGCACGCGCGCGCTGACACACTGGGGGCAGACAGGAGGTTTGCCAGGTGCAGACTAGAGGAGGCTCAGCGTGTGCCTTGCTGTACATCTACTTAGCACATGCTGTTCCTCATGCTGATCCACGAGTTCTAAGGAGAGTTGAGCTCCAGGAAGGGCAATAGCCCTGCTAGATTTGGGGTTTGCTGAGCGTGCAGGTGCTGCTGGCTACCCCTCAGTGGGATCTCGCGAGTCTATCCTCATCCCCCTCCTCCTCCCTGCCCCCCGGCTCAGTACCCGGGGGCTCCAGATCTCCTCCCCACTGGAGGCCATCCTGGGTGCCTCCCCCCACACACTCATCTGCCGTGCGTCACCTCCGCCGCTAAGTAGGTCTCTCGCTCCTGCCTTCGTGCACCATGACTTCATCGGCCTATTAGTGGAGCCTCTGAATAAATACCCGATTGCCAGGCAATAAGCTAAATCCCTTTACAAGCTCCAGCGCGCCTTCCTCCTCACAGGGCGGGATCAGCTGGAAGTGGGGAAGAGAAACTTGCAGAGGCTGAATGAATCAGGTGCCCAAGGCTGGAGCCGGGGCAAAGGGGCGCGGAATCCTATCTCCAAGGACCCGGTTCCTGCCCCTCGGACCCCCTCCCACCTCCCCTCTCTGTCCTCCTGGGATGTCCAGGGCGGAGTATGATCATTCCCGGTCCCCACACAAACGAAGCCCACACTGCCCAGACGCCCACGACACATCAACTCAGACACAACGGGTCTCTCCAGAGCATTGTCAACGACCCCCTCCTCCCTGGGCAGGAATCCCACCACACACACTCTCTCGCTCACTTCCTACTTCAAACTCACTTCTCCTCTCCTGAGCTGCACCTGATGTTGCAACCCCTGGTGCAAAACAGCACAATCAGGACCTGGGCCACTATCCCCAAGAAAGCAAGCCCAGGGCCCGGCACAGAGTAGATGTAGATGACACGGGTGTGTGTGTGTGTGTGTGCGTGTGTGTGTGTGTGTGTGTGTGTGTGTTGTGTAGGCGGGAGGGCCAGTCAATGCACTAGACTTCCTGATGGTCATCACCAATCTTACCATTCTGTGAGCTTCTCTTTACGCCCTCCCCACCCCCCGCCTCCACCCCGCCTCTGGAATCCAATGGCACAGTGTCCCCTATTCTGAGCGTCCTCTCGGCAGCTCTGTACCTCTTCAAGGTGGCCAAGAGGAGCAGGAAAGAGGCTGGGCTGGGCTGAGAGCCCTGGGGAGCCTTGTTGAGGCACTGCAGAGGCCTCTCCCCTAGGGCTTGCTCCAGTAGAGCGAACACCCCCACCGAGTCCTCCGTCCACAAAGGTTGCGGCCCCTCCATGACCTGGCCCGCACACCCTGCAGTGGAAGAAATCGGGCAGAAAGCAGAGGGCTGGAGAGAGTGCTGGGCTCAGGGCCTTCCTGAGGATGACCCCGGCTTAAAGGTCTCCTGAGCACTGAGCTCTGCCTACCGGGTGTGGTCCCGCAAGCAAAACAACAATATTTACCCACAAGCAATCTTCCATAGAGCACCCCTGGAGGGAAACTCATCAGACTCAGACGCTTGGGATTCCACAGCAATCAGCACGCACATACCCCAGGGCACTGGGGTTAGACACAGAAACAGCTGAAAGCTACCCAAATGCTCCACAGGGCAGACTAGATGGACCAGGGGAGGATCAGGTACACCCCAACCCTCCCCACCACTTCACAGCGCCCGACAGAGACGCCCCCACAAGAGCACGTCCGGGGTAGCCTCACCAGGGTATGAACAAAACACCAAGCCATATCCCTGCCCTGCACCACTTCGAATAAAGACATCCTTCAATAAAAAAAGAAAAAGTGCGGGGCCCAGAGAGGGTAAGGCATTTCCTTTGCATACAGCCAACTGACCTGGATTTGATCCTCGGCATCCCACAGGGTCCCCCCTGCTCCCCAGCACCCTCGAGTGCAACTGATGAATGCAGAGCCAGGAGTCACCCTTGAGCACCGCAAACCAAGCTGGGGCCAGAGAGATAATGCAGGAGGAGTGAAGGCGCACACAGGTTCCATCCCCTAACAGTGTATACTTCCCCAGCACCAGCAGGCACGGCACCACACACACACACACACACACACACACACAGTGAGAAGGGTTCTGTGTTTTGATAGATTTGGGGGGCCATACCAGTGGTGCTCGCAAGTTACTCCTGGCTCTGCACTTAGGAATCACTCCTGTTCAGGGGGCCATAAGGGGTACCCAGGATCTAACTGGGGTTGGTCGTGTGCAAGGCAAGTGCCCTCCCTGCTGTGCTATGCCTCCGGGCCCCATTTTTGCTGTTTTCACACTTTACTGGTAGTACTCAGGGGACGAGGTGGTGCTGGAACTGAACCCAGGCCACTCACATCCTTCAGCTAACGTGAAAGGGTTTTGTCCCTGGAGGAACTCCCTGCCCAGATGGATGTGAAGACTGTCTTCCCTTCAAACAGCCACAGTTCTTATGTTCCAGAACTGTGAGCACATCCCATGAAGTATGAAGTATGTCGTTTTGCCGTTAGTTTCACAGTCCTTAGCCTTTAGGCCTTATACCTCCGTGCGGGCAATGCTGTGTTTCCCATTTCAGAGATGAATTAATGAAGTCCTGAGAGATTGAGTTACCTGCCCCAACTCACTCCAAGTAACTGGTCTGACTCCAGAGCCCAAAATCTTGACAATATTACAGCAAAGCACTTCAGAGAAGTGTCAAAAGGCATGAGGGTTTGGGGGGGGGGGGGGGCGGTATTCAAGGATATCTGTTTGCCTTGCACACAGCCAACCTGGGTTCAATACCCTACACCTCATCTGGTCCCCTGAGTCCCACCAGGAATGATCCCTGAGCACAGAGCCCAGACCCCAGAGTAAGTC